ATGATCCTCCTGCCTCAGCCTCCTGAGTGCTGGAATTACAGGCATGCACCACCACGCCTGCCTCCTCCCAGTCCTTTTTAAATGATTTTTATTTTGAGACAGGCTCTCACTAAGTTGCTGAATTGTCCCGACAAGGTTCAAATTTATGATCCTCGCGCCTCAACTTCCCAGAGTGCTACAATTACAGGTGTGTGCAAGCACACCTGTCTTAAATGTTTTAATTTATACAGAAAACTGGAAACATTAGAGCAAATGAGCAACTGAATATTCTTTTCCTAGATTCAATAGTTGATAACAGTTTACAGTATTTGCTTTAGTTTTATACATTTAAGCACAGATTACCTAGGAATAAAAATTTCCTACATGTTCACAAGTAGGGTATGTAGTAGGAACTTGCTAAGAAAACTTAACATTTTTAATTTAACAAACTTAAAAATTAAGAATAATCCCCTAATATCAAATAATCCATATATATATATATATGTATATACACACACACACATATATATATATTTGTTGTTGTTGTTGTGTTGTTTGTTTGTTTGAGACAGGGTCTCACTATGTAGTGTAGGCTGGCCTTAAACTCACTTGTGTAGCTCAGGCTGGCCTCAAACTCAGGCAAGTCCTGCTGCCTCAGGCCCCGGAGTGCTGGGATTACAGGCATGCATCAATTTATATTTATCCTTCCTTGTCCTCAAATATCTTTTATCATTTCTTTTTCCCCTGGCCTAGGATCTAATCAGTGCTTATTTGCTGAATATGGTTACTAACTTTTGTTTTTGGTCTAGACCCTCTAGGGCGTCACCCCCAGCTCTTGATTGTTAACTTTTTTTTGATGCTAGAGGTGGAACTCATGGTCTTGCATGAGCTAAGCACATGATCTATCCCTGAGCTATACACCCAGCCCTTGTTAATTCTTTTTAATTCACGAGTCTACCTCCTGTTTTGTTTTTAACGACTTTGACATTTTTAGGGATTCTGGCCAGGTTTCTTACAGATGCCTGAGCTTTTGGATTTATCTGATGTGTCCTGAGGGTATCATGTGATCTTGTCTTCTACGTGCTGTCATTCCTGTATTTTTTTTTTGGTTTTGTTTTTATTTTTTTGTCTTTTTGAGACAGGGTCTCATTATGCAGTTCAGGTTGGTCTTGAGCTCACTTTGTAGCCCAGGCTGGCCTCAGACTCACAACAATCCTCCTGCCTCAGCCTGCCAAGTGCTGGGATTATAGGCATCCGCCACCATATCCAGCTATTCCTCTCATTTTAAAAACTGGAATTTGGGGCCTGAAACCCTGGTTTCTCTCTCCATCACACTCTTCACTTCTTAGAATGTCCTCCTGTAGCTATTGATTATGTGTGTCTCCAAGAGGATGTTGTCTGTCTGTGCAGAGACTGCTCCGGTCGGTGAATAAGCAGTACAGAGTGAGCCTCCAGCATGTGTTTATGAAATGAATCCATCATATTCAGTGGCTTTATCAGTCTCAATACTGCTGAGAAATCACTATAATAATTTATCCTGTTTCTTAAAATATCTCACATTTTTCTGAAGCCCCCAAACCCTGAGAATGTCTGTATCTTATATTTAAACTTGTGGTCAGTTTCAGCACATGTTTTACCCTAGCAGTTTGAAGGCATGCTTGGTTTTACCTTTCCAGGTGGCCAGTGGAGGACCAGATCTCCTCTCTGTGAGAAACTGAAAGGGTAAATAAGATCCAAAATGTATAATAGATATCGTAAAATGGGAAGAAACTTCAAGAGGAGAGAGAAGCTGGGATGGGGGAATGGAGAAAAGAAGGAAGGGAAAAGCAAATATAAATTATATATGTGTGTGTATATATATATGTATATATATATGATAGTTAAGATAGTTACACTACTAATTTCTTTTTTTTTTTGTCTTTTTGAGACAAGGTCTCGCTATGCAGTTCAGGCTGGCCGTGAGCTCACTTTGTAGCCCAGGCTGGCCTCGAACTCACAATGGTCCTCTTGCCTCAGCCTCCAGAGTGCTGGGATTACAGGCATGCGCCACCACACCCGGCTATACTACTGATTTCTCTTAGTTCACTGAAAAGAAAAGTTTGTGCTAATATTGTTTGGACAATGTAAATCCCTATATCTTGTACTCTGAGTAACTAATTTAAAGATAACAGTATGCAATGTATTAACCATTGTTACCCTGTTATTGTCTTGTTTTGAAATTTTGTTTTATTTTTTTCTCTTTACTAGTATGTGTTTACAGCACATAACGATTGCAGCCATCACAGGGAACTGGTGCCTGTACACAACACATCTTAGTTCTTTTTATACCCCCTTTCCCTCCTTCCTTTCTCACTCCAACTGGCAGATCTGTTTTGTTGTTGCAGCCGGTTATACAGCCAGGCGTTGGGGTTCTGTGGAGATGGCCTGTTTTCTTTTCCCTGTCTTTGCTATTTCTGCTGCTTCCTTGATCAGAACTGATAGCTTGCTCTTTTTTTCATTTCTCTAGGAACTCTGATCCCACAGAGATCAAGGCAGAGGTACTGGGAGTGGGCTGAGTTGTAAAGATAAGCTCCAAGCTGAGTAGTAGACTCCTTTTGACAAATGATAATGACAGCTAACATTTCCTGAATTCTTGTCATAATTGGGATAATGTAATTGGCACCGTGCTCAGCACTTTACACGGCCCCTGCCATTTAGTCCTTCCTGCAACTCTTTGCCAGAGCAAATTTTGCTCTATCAAATCCACCAAACTAAAAACTGCCAGCACCAGGCCCCAGCCCAGAAAGCCTGACTCCAGAGACCGCAAAAGCCACTCTGCCCTTCCATTCCTTCGGGATCTCCCCAAACTCAGTTTCCTGGCTGCCCAAGCTTCCAGTTGCTGCCTTGGGGGCGGGATGAAGCTGTGCACCGGCACTTTCGTCATTTGGTGAACGTGGGGGAAAAGCGCTTCCGTGGCAAGTTTTTAAGAATATAAAAGCCAACAGACTCAGTGATGGCTATTTTCTTTCCCAGATCTGTGCCTTCCTGAGATCATCACACCCAGCCTCCTCTAGTGACTCTGCAAGCTAAGGAACTGCCAGCTGTCTCACAAGAGGCCTGTGTGGCACAAGGTTAATGCTTGGGGAATTTCTCTTATGTGAAAGTCCCTTGGGTCACACTGCACGGTGTACTAATTATGAACCCAATAATCAGATTTCTGGATGACATTTTCACGTGGGATATCAGATGCATTCCAGCCGGGCCACAGATGGACAAGTGAAGACAGAGACACCGTGACAAGTGCCAGCCACTTCGTAAGTGCAGATGTTTGAAACTCTCTAGGCAGCTAGAGTTTTATGTATATATGCAGTTTACTTTTCTGCTAAGACTAACAAAAATGCACACATTTGGGGGAGCGGTTGAAAGTCCGAGTGATTTTTAATATATTTCTATCAGCCTGGTCTTTCTCTGTATATTCCCAAAGATCCCTGTTTCTTGCAATAGGACATGTGAACAGTGACATTTTTTTTACTTTTGTTATAATGCTCTTATTAATTCATTCAGCAGACACTGAGCCCTTATTTCATGCCAGCTGAGAATCCAAAAAAAAGCTGGCCCCTTTCTCCTGTTGAGGTGGGCCTGTCTGCAAAGGGATGAGGAGACCTCATGAGATGGACCAGAAGAGCACAGCACGCTAAGTGTGGTGGGATCTGCAGAAGGGCAGTGCCAGCCCCTGGGGGCTGGTAGGGGGACATGAGAGAAGGCTTCATGGTGGAGATGAGCATTTTTAGGTTGGATTTAAAACGGTGACGATGGGAGCTGGGCATGATGCAGCCTGCCTATAATTGTAGCACTCGGGCAGCTAGGCTCGGAGGATCAGCGCTTTGAGGCCAGCCTGGGCTATCAGCAAGGACTGCATAGAAAGATCCTACAGGAGTGGGGAGGTGTTGAAAAGGACTGCATAGAAAGATCCTACAGCAGGAGTGGGGAGGTGTTGAAAAGAGTTCAACAGGTGAATGTGGAGCTGCGGATGGAGCTCAGCGGTAAAGCATATGATTAGTATGTACAGGGCCCTGGGTTCCCTCCTCTGCACTGCAAAAGGAAAAGAAAAAAGGGAGGTGAACACTGAGGACAAAGGTATTAAGCAGAAAGAACAGTGTTGCCGAGGCGTGGGGACAGGAAACTGTACCGCTTATTCAGGAGAAGGCAAGGGGTGTAAAGGATGTTGTAGAGACTGGTAGGATGTGAGCCTGAGGAGGGCCTTGATTAAAGAAGTTAGACTTAGCCAGGCGTGGTGGCATACCCCTGTAATCTCAGCACTCAGGAGGCTAAGGCAGGAATCACTGCAAGTTTGAGGCCAGCCTGGGGTACATGTGAGTTCAAGGCCATCCTGAACTGCATAGTGAGACCCTATCTCAAAAAAAAAAAAAAAAAAAAAAAAAAAAAAAAAAAACAAACAAAAAAACCACCTCAGACTTAATACCTAGGTCTGGAAAGAAGTTAGATTTTGTTCTGTAGGTGACAGGGAGAATGACACCATCAGATCTGTGTTTCACACAGATAAGTTACTAAGCTGGAAGGTAGAGTGACCTGGAAGAAGCTGATTTCCTGCAGGAGGGCATTCAGGGCAGCAAGAAACTCCATTATTAGGTCATTACCAGACGCAGGGCTGTGTGGTTCTTTCAGCAAGGGCTGTGCTCCCTGGGGAAGGCCCAGCAAGCTTGCCTGGGAACCCTGTTCACCTCCGGAGGGCCCAAGTTTTCATTGTACTGTTCTGCAAATACATGTTTGCCAACCCAAGACTCACATTTTAACTTAATGTTAGAGAAAGAGTGCCGCTCAGCTCGGTTCCGCTCCAAGCTGCCCTGTAAAGCATGTCAAGCCTGGGCCTCCATGGATGGCTAAATACCTTTCTCAGGTCTTAGGGAATATAAGAGAGAAACGACCACAGTCTTGCTTTGTTTGTTTTAATCCTTCATGGTGTGGGAATTGAGAAAAACTCAATACTCACCCATGTTCAAGTGCCCATAGGGAGAAGGGTTACGTACCATTACTGCAGGACAAAGGTAAACAGTAGTAGTTCCTGAAACCTGCAGATTAAAACACAGTATAAACAGCACGGTGGAAACTGGCAAAAGTAATGGCCTATCACCGGTATGCAAATTATATTGCAGGCATTTTTTTTCCATTTACTTTATATTGTAATGAATCATTCGCTTGGATTTTGAGCTGTGTACTTTGGATGTGTTATAAGGAAGGGGAAAACCTGTGTACAAGGGTGAACTACATCTTATATAGCTTGAAATTTTCTACAGATATCCAGTTCTAGAAAAGTTTTAGAAAGTTTTATGATTTAGCTGGGCATGGTGGCACATGCCTGTAACCCCAGCATGTGGGAGGCTAGGACAGGAGAATCGCTGAGTTCAAAGCCAGCATGAACTACATAGCAAGACCCTGTCTCAAAAAACCAAAGGGTTTTTTGTTGTTGTTTTTCTATTTTTTTGTTTGTTTTTGTTTTTGGGTTTTCTTTTTGGTACTGGGAATTGAACTCAGGGCCTTGTGCTTGCCAGGCAGGCGCTGTGCCACTGAGCTATCTCCCTGGCCAGTGGGGAAAGAAATGATGTTTCTGTACCATTAAATTAAAATGTGAGTGCCAGGCTGGCAAATAGGTATTTGTCCATATTTGAGATTTTTGTTATTAAATATTTTAAAAGGCAACAATAATGGCCACTGTCAGGCAAATGCCCACATTTTGTTTCTGTGAGTTCATCTGCAGTCTGTAAACTGCCCTCAGATGACAGGTGCAGGAAGTCTGGCTGACACCAGGGCTATGGCATTTTGTCTCTCACAGTCAAGCGTCTGTGTTCTCACCAGCAACTTCCCATCATGCCCAGCGGCCTGATTCAGGAACTGGAGGCAGATGGGCTGCTGCTGCTGGCCACAGTTGTCAGAGGCTACTGAGCACAATTCTCGGGTGGCCACTGGGTCACAGAGGCTCACTGTCCCTCCTGTCAGACCATGGCGTAACCCCCACCCCCTTGGAGAGGCTAGCCTTGACAGCTTTCTCCTGGGAATGAGAAGAAATCACACAAAGTTCATGTTGCAGATCACTTTGATCCTGGGAGCCATTTCTACCCAGATGACATGGATCTTCTGAGGTCACACTCTGCTACTCCCTGGACTCTGACCCCTTCCCGTCATCTCCTCTTTCCTCACCTCAGAGGTGCCCTGTGCCCCAGAAGCACACTTAGGACCTGGACATGTGTCCTGGCCAGTTCTTCTGCTCCCCTAGTGTAATTTCTCACTGGTATAGACAGGTGCTCGTACAGGCTGGTTAGCAACCCATGGAGCTGAGGACGAGGAAACCCCGAGGGGACAGTGCAGAGCCGGGCAGTGCTCTGCTGCACCCCAGCTGCTGGTGTTCTCTCAGCCGCAGCATGTTTTGTTTTGGTGATGTTGCCTATAAAATGTAGGCTCCCTGCAAAAGATTTGGCTGAATTCATGGCAAAGTCCTACTCTTTATTCATTCACCTAACAAATATTTATTAAACACCTATCCTTCCTCAGGAACCATTCCAGATGCCAGGACGATCTCAGGAACCATTCCAGACACCAGGACGATCCTACCAGAGAACAAAACTGACCCTGTTATCTTGGAACTTACATTATCATGGAAAGCAATGCACACAGAGAGTCAATGTGTAAAATACTCTAAGAATTTGGAAGAAAAATCAAGCAGGGTAAGGGTGAGAGAGGAAAGTGGGAGAGTGGGCGCCTCCCAGGAGGGCTTTTCTGATGAGGAGGGGTGGTTTGCAGGCCTGGAGCAGCAAGAGCAAAGCCTCGGAGGGGGGACTGCCCTGGCCGGGGAGGCTAGGAAGCCACTTTCCCTGTCTGCAGGGCCAAGGGCTTTGGGCGAGGAACGAACAAAAGCATTGGTGTGAAAGCATTTGTGTAAACTGTCAAGCACTGCATACAAGTTACTCTCTTCATGTTGACTTTATCAAATGTGTGTAGAGTGTCTAAATCATCAAGGATTATAATTATATTACAGTTATACCCTTTCTTTTTTATTATTGAGGCAAAATTCACATAGCATATGATTAACCACTTTATATTGTTTGTATTTTGTTTTGAGACAAGGTCTCACTATGTAGTTCATTTTTTTTTTTTTTTATTTGGGGGTACCAAGAATCGAACTCAGGACCTTGCACTTGCTAGGCAGGCGCTGTGTCACTGAGCTATATCCCTGGATTAACCACCTTAAAGTTATATTTCAGTGGCATTTTGTGCATTCACAGTATTGTGCAAGTACCACTTCTAGCTTCAGAACCTTTTCATCAGCCCTGACCTTTCAATTTTCATATTAATTTACGTTGTCAGTCCTGAAATAGGATCCTCCCATATCCAGCCTTGTTCTTTCTGTTCCTGATGAGCTGTAGCAGTTGTTATGATTTATCCCTGTGCTTATTCAATGAATATTCATTGACCACTTACTATACAGTAAGCACTATGCTAGATAGTTCCTGGGGATACAATAGTGACAGTCACAGGCAAGTCCATGCATTTAGGGGACTCGTAATCGACTGGAGAGTATAGACACTGAACAGATAATTGACAGGGCTGGGGATTTAGCTCAGCAACACAGAACCTGTCTGGCAAGCACAAAGTCCTGAGTTCGATTTCCAGTACAAAAAAAAAAAAATCAAAGAAGAAACCCAGATAATTGACAGAAACTTAAATTATGGTACATGGTTTTAAGAAAAAAAGTTTTGAAAATTGTGTTGAAAACATTCGTGAGCCAGGCATGGTGGCGCACGCCTGTAATCCAAGCACTTGGGAGGCTGAGGCAGAAGGATCTTTGCAAGTTTGAGACCAGCCTGGGCTATATAAAGTGAGCTCAAGACCAGCCTGAACTACATAGCAAGAGCCTGTCTCAAAAAGACAAAACAAAACAAAAACAAAAACAAAAAACCATTGGTAAGGGCCAGGTATAGTGGTACACGCCTATGATCCCAGCACTTGGGAGACTGAGGAGGATCACTGTGAGTCCCAGGCCAGCCTGGGCCACATACTGAATTCAAGGTCAGCCTCAAATACAAACCGAAACCTTGTCTCAAAAAATAAACAAATAAATAAATAAAAAAAAATAAAAGTGAAGTTCCTAAAGCTACTGGAAGAGAGCTGCCACTCTTAGAACAACATGGCTTTTTTTTCATGACTATGTTTTTATAGTTGTGCTCATAGTTCAAGGACACTGGGAAGCCTGCCTCAGCCTCCCAAGGATTAGGCTGGGGCAAAAGTAGGCAGGCACAGGTAAAAACAGTAGGGTTCCAGCCATTTGCTCCTGAGACTAACCTTCTGCGGTAAGCAGACTGATTGTGTTGTCATGGCTCCCGTCATTCCCATTTTGTAGATGTGGACACTGAGGCTCACACCAGCGTGCCTTGCCTAATGCCATCTAGCGGGGTTTATTGAAATTTCGTATGTCGTTTAACCACCAGGCTAGCGAAGCTGAAAAAGCCTTTTGTCCAGCAGAAGGCAGTCGCACACTTGGCTGGGAGAAGGAGACCCACAGGCCCGCTCGGATGGGCCCAGCGTGCACTCAGCCTCCAGCAGAGGGCGCGGTGAGCTGGCCTCAGGTGGCCCTGCTAGGCTTGGGGGCGGGAGGGGGTTGAGGAGCAGTTCTTTCCTGGGCCTCCTGAGGCGGACTGTGCTCAGCGTCCTCGGGTTTTTTCTTGTACACTAGTGCATGCTAGCGTTAACCTTGATACTTGCTTGTTCTGTGATCAAGCTTCAGAATAACAAATCAGACCAAGCCACCAAGTCATCTCCAGAGCTGAACCGGTGACCAAGGTCACCTGAGTACCCGGCCCCATCCCTACTTCTTACCACCTTGCGGGTGCGCAGCAGATCCTCTCTGCCAGGCAGCACATCCCTCATGTAGGCGCTACCTTGACTTTCTTGAGGCAGGATGACCTGGCAGCATTTGCACCCCACCCTCCACTGGTTTCGCTTTCCTAATGTTGTTAAAGAGTCTTCTAACTGAAGGAGGACAGTGGAACAGGTTTCAGCATTTTACTTAATTTTTTTTATGTGCTTGCTTGCTGAAGATTTCTTCTTTAACAAATTCCCTTTCCAGCTCCTTCAGGAAGATGCCCTCTTTGGCACTTGTCCAAAGTCCGGGTCCTAATAGCTTCTGACTGTGGTTTAATTTTAACCATAAAGCCTTCTTTTGGAATAATTACTTTTTAATCCGTAAAGGGCCAGTTTGATATAGGGCCATAAACAGCTCCTACCCAGAGTCGGTAGACAGTGTTCATTTACTGCTAACATAGCTCTTTTTAAAAGGGGACACTGAGGGGGGTTGTGAATAGATCAGTTTGAGGGGCTCTTTGGGCGTCTTAATTTAATGAGCCCTGTGGGTATGTTGGAGAGAGAGCGAGGGGCAGGAGCCCCCTGCCCAGGGACTGAGCTGCTGGGCAGAGCGTGGCCTCTCTCACAGCTGCCCTGAGCAGCCCTGTGGCCAGTTTTCTGGGAAAAATCGGCATTTCTGGAACAGAAGACATGCTTGGCCCTTTGTCAAATGTCCAGCTGCCACCGATTCTTGGTCCTGAAAATGTGGTCACCTGAGAAACCTGTCTGCAGCCATCTCCTCAGGGGTGACCTGATCCAGGCAGTCAGGAGGATGGGGTCCTCAGAGCCCCCTGCACTGGTCAGAGTTGTTCTGGTCTGTTTCTTCCCTTATAATGCAAGTTCTTTGATAATACTTGCATTTGTAAAACCTTAAGTAAGTTTGGGTGTATCAGGGCAGACATTGGTTGTCTCCCTTTTTGCAGTGTAGGTGGCAAACTTCTTATTTCACAATGAAAAAAAAATTAAAGATGAGAGGAAAATAGGATGTGTGATGAGGACCATTTCTAGAAAAAGTATGTATTCCAGTCCTCTCCAAGGAAAGTAAGTTTGGGAAGACTTAGTCATTTCATAGAAGTAGTCTTTACTTGCCAGGCATACTGTAATTTTAGCACTCAGGAGGCTGAGGCAAGAGGATCACTATGAGTTCAAGGCCAGCCTGGACTACATAGTGAGTTGAGGGCCATTCCAAACTACACATCAAGACCCTGTCTGAAAGAAAGAAAGAAAGAAAGAAAGAAAGAAAGAAAGAAAGAAAGAAAGAGGAAGGGAGAGTCTTTACCATAAATTCGTGCCTAGGCTTATTTAAGTAAAGGCTTTGTGCTTTTCTGGAGCATTTGAAGGGAAGGGAAGATAGAAAAATCAAAGAGTAATCATCAGTTACCAGTGAAAAATCAGTCTTAAATGAAAATCAGGTATCTGATTACCAGAGATCAGCCTTCAGGCCTGGAGGTGTAGCTCAGTGGTAGATCATGTGCTTAGTATGGACTAGTCCCTGGGTTAGATCAAAAATGGAGGAAGGGGCTGGGGATTTAGCTCAATGGCACAGCGCCTG